CTAACCGAATAAACCCTCATAATTCCTATTTTAACATAATATCCGAATAATACGCAAATAACAAATAGAGCCCAATAATTATGTTTCTCAGAGGCTCCTGCATTTATCCAATCTTGTTCGCTTTATGTTATTATTAGAAGCCCCCACCGTTACTTTCCTTTGTTTCATGAGTCCTTGATGTGCCCAAGCTTCCGTGGTTTATTTGTCCAAGTTCGTTGCACTAATATGCTTTGTTGGTGGGCAAGAGTAATGGCTCCCCGTTATCAGTATTTTGGTTGTCGTCAAGCCTCTGGTCGTCACCAGTTCACACTATCAGATTCTACTTCTTCCGTCTTCGACTCCGATTCCGGTCAGTGTATGCCCTGCTCTACCGCAGCCTGAGCAAACTGCCGGTAAACCCTCATAGACGATTTCACGCCATGCATTTTTGGCACCAACGGATCGTCCAAATTGAGCTCCACACATGACTCGGGCGAAGCGTCCTCTTGTCGCCATTGCAGTTTCGCGATCGATCCGAATTGGACGGCCGACACAAGAAGCCAATTTGTAAAGGATTTCATCACGACAGATGAGTAAATTGGACCCACGAAAGCAACGTAGAGATGCGAGCGGTAGCACGATTGGATCGCAAGGAAGTTCCCCGCAACAATGTATGGCCCTCCGGCTAATACCTTCGTCAAGTCCGCCGGATCGTCGAAACTTTACCGCAGAGAAACCATTGCCCAGCTCCGTAATCTCGAGACCGCCAGTAGGTTTCCAAAGGTAGTGAGTCGATTGACTAGAGTGTAGTATCCGACGGAATGACCATATGGTTTCACGATTAGAGCGTTTTTCCATACATCACAACCTTTTGAGAGCAGGGACTCAGAAATCTGCAAAAATAGGCTTTCAGTTTGTTTCCATCTTCAAATACAATCTGCACTTGCTCTAAAACAGATGATTCAAGGGAGAACTCAGTGGACAGTGTGAAGGAGAAGGAGGGGACGCGCGGCGGCCTAAAAGTTTTTCCTTGTAAGACCCACCCGGGTCAGAAGGCCGGAGCTCGCCGGCAGGGGCTGTGATTGATTGGGGAACTCATTTCGCACCTTCAATTTTTCCTGATTATTGCAAGTGCAATGCTTGCATGGTTGACAGAAAGGATCATCTGGGCTCAATTCGTCCCAAAATCCTTGCGGACTGAAATTCGCTGGACATAAATTAATGGACTTGGCCCTCAAAACTCTTCACAAAGCCCCAACACGATGGGTCATTGTTTAAATTTTGACTGGGCTAGGCTCAATATGTCAATTCAGTAGATGTTGACCCAAAAATCAAAATGCAATCACATTGGCTCTAAAGTGGGTTATACTTATGCCCTGTTCACTTGCCATTCTGTTTTTTGTTTTTCAATGCCACAACATAAATCAGGAAATATAATTGCAAAAACGTGTTCACTCTCTTGTTTTGTTTTCGTTTAATAAAATGGGGAAGAATGAATGTGGAAGCTGGCAGAAACGAGAAATACTCGTTTATTGGAATTAATGGCACGAATTTCTCCCCGTTGCCCAGCGGAGAAACACTGCTGTTCATTAATGAGGTCTCGGGTTCGAGTCCCCCAAGCCTTTTTTTTAGTAATTTCTGTTATAGCTTCTACACGCAGCCCTTGATGTCGTTTTTGGCATTGAAAACCCTATCCCCAGCAGTCTCCTCCAAGCTCCATCGAACTCCTTCCTCCACTCCATACAAACGCCGCTGCAACCCACGAGAAGCTCGGCCGCCACACTCCTCCAGATCGCTGACGCATCTCCTCCAGCTCGGCCTCCCCTTCATCGATCGACCGCCGCATCTCCTCCAGCTCGCCGACGCACTCCTCCAATCGCCGACGCATCTCCTCCAGCTCGGCCTCCCCTTCATCGATCGACCGCCGCATCTCCTCCTACGGCTGCTCGGAAACAAACGGTCGCCGCATCCGACGAGAAGCTCGCAGACGAAGCTCGACCTCCCCTTCATCGATCAACCTCCCTCCATCGCATCTCTTCCGGCTAGCTTCTCGGAAACAAACGACCGAATCCCGCTCCCCAGCAGCATCCCCTCTCAACCATTACGCAGCGGCCTGCTCTTGTTCAGGTTAGTTCCACTGCTTTTTTGTTGTTAATTGCTGTGTAATTATTTGTTTATTTTGCTGCTTATTATTGTTGTTAATTCTATGTAATTATTGATGTCATGCTTGCTTGTGAACAAAATCTGGCTTCACCAATGCAGTGGAGAATGCAATTATTAGGATCAACATAATTGCATGGAAGAGAATGTCATTGGAGTACAAGGAGGACAAGAAAGAGAAGTGTTTAATCTCAGTTCAAGTCAAACTCGAGCAATGGATGTGCGACGTGATGGAATAGCAAACAAATTATGGGATGACTTTCAAGCGGGACTTATTTGATATTTGATTTTTAATATTATTTATTTGATTAAGATGTTGTACTTGTATTGTGTTTATTAGTAGTTTAAAAACAATGTGATTCGTATTTAAAATTATAATCATGATTAGAGTTGTATGACACTCCATGAAAAAATTATAGTAATCAAGTACCAAAAAACAGTATGAAGTAACTAAACAGGTTTTCATTTTCAGAATTCAGTTTCAGAACTCACCAAAATTCTCAAGTAAACAAGTTTTCTGCAGATTTTGATTCTCAGAAAATGACAGCTTCGTTTTCATTTTATTTTGTTTTCTGTTGAGAAATCTATAAGAAATGGAATGGCAAGTGAACGGGCCATTAGATTTGCTGGTTTGGCTACACCGGATAGATCAGAATCGGGTTTTTTGATAATGGTTTCGAATAGGATTTTTTTTGTGGGAAGACAGACACAAAAAGCGCCTAGATCATATTTTTTTGATAATGGTGAATATATTAAAAGTAGAAAAAGCAATTGTTCGAATACAGCAAAGCAACAAACACGAAACACAGCAGGGGTTCAATGTTCAACTTAGTTGGACTTGAGCTGGGCTACCGTAGCCCGTAGGGTCAATGTTCAACTTGACTCGCGATGTGCAGTGGAGATTCTTCAGCGGCATCAGGGCCAATGTTCAGCTGGCCTGGGAGCTGGGCTACCGTAGGGTCAATGTTCAACTTGACTCGCGATGTGCAGTGGAGATTCTTCAGCGGCAGCAGGGCCATGATCATCGCCATTCAGCAGTCTCCCATCGCTTCCAGGAGTTAATTCAGAGGGAATGGGAAGTTTCCCTCACTCATATTTATAGAGAAGGTAACAAGTGTGCTGACTATATTGCTAGTCGGGGTCATCAGTTGCCGTTGGGCTATAGCATGTTTCCTACAACGGACCCTACCCTTGTATCTTGGATTTTGTATGACACTTTGGGGCTCTCCGAACCCCATCTGGTTATGAATGAAGGCTGAGATGCTCTGCATCCATTTATAAATAAATAAAAAATAGTTTAACCAGATTCAGTTGAAACTGGACTAGTCTCCTCCCAAACATATAAAGAGATTCTCCTTTCACACCTATCTCATTCTCTTTTTCAAGCCTTCTGCGCATAGAACGGAAGGACCCATTGGTCCTTTTGCTCCGCATTTTTTTAATTTGCGGGATGAGCTGATTTTTATCAAGGAGCCCCGACTTCTGTTGTGGGCCTGAGGGCAAAACCAAATCCGAATGTGATAATTTTACTAATAAGTAATAACAACACCTTCATCTCCATTAATGAAACATATATCCTTGCCATAAGTGATATTTTATTTCTTCTCTCCTATTTCATTGAAAGAAACATCTAACGGTAAAATGTTTGCAAATATGAAATAATTTTCAATAGAATATCTTGCCCAAACCATGAATATTGTCAAAGATTTGCTCTTTTCCCATATCTGAAACTTTTATCTACACCTTCAATAGTCTCGTCTTCTCAACATTGCTATTAGTTACATCAAGGGGTTCAGTATATCAACCATTAGTTTACTTTTTCTTCTTCTCTTGTATTTCATCGAATGCAAATAATTAACAATAAATGTTTTCAAATATTACATCGTCCAAGTCTTGAATATTGACAAAAGATTTTCTCTTTCTCATCCTTCTATACCTTCAAAATTTTGTATTCACTTATGAGATTCAAGATTTTGTAATTTGCTAGTGAGCTTGGTGTTGAACTTTATTCCCTCAAATTGTAGGAGATGAGGAGGTGGATGTCTTCCTCATTATGTCACTATTTTGAAATAGTTTGCCAATATAAAATCCAAAATATTTATGTCCCTCATGAGTCATGATGCATATGTGACAACAGATTCAATGAATTTGTTCACAACGTGAAGTTGGATAAAAGTCTAATATCAATCTTCCAACACAAATTTTTTCGTATAAAAAATACCAATCTATAGCTTATAGGCAAACCACAAATTATCCACACAAATTGTTCAACATTAAAGTAAACATCCATAAACAACATAATTAATTGAAAGCTTCTTCCTCCTTGTCAACTAAACTTCTTCACTCCATAATATCAACTTCAATCTACACAATTAGGAAGAACAAATTAGACAGGTACGGGTTGAAACGGGGCTGGATATGGCTATAAACCCGAACCCAACGCAACGCAACCCACAAAATAGTAGAACGGGTTTAAACCCGACCCGTAATCCGTCAACACAAATTTTACCAACTTTGACCGAATTTAATCGGATAGGATATCCGTGGATTGAGTTATGTTGCCATCCCTAACCGAAAGTAAGCAACTAAGGATATGGGATGGCTGCAGGTTATTATGTGGGTTACCAACAAAACACGATCTCTTTGCATAAATCATAGTACGTGAGAACCTAATCATGAATCAGTGGTTTGACCCTCCGACTTGCCAGGTGATTAAGACGATACCCCTGCCGCGACAGAATATCGAGGATCGATTAATCTGGCATGCCACGGAGGATGGAATTTTCACTGTCAAATCGGCTTATCATTTGGCGATTAGTCTGGATCAACAGAGTGGGAAATGGCGGGCGCAGGTTAGTTGGATGGACAAGCGAAGCTGGATCCGGGTTTGTGAAGCAAATATTCCTCCGAAACTGAAGGTGTTTGTCTGGCAAATCTTGACCAGAATTTTACCAACGACTGAGGCCCTTATAGAAAAGGACGTGGAGGTCCTGCCCCGATGCCCTGTCTGCTGGGCTTCAAAGGAAACAATGGAGCATTTGTTCTTTGATTGCCCTGTGGCTAGGGCTTTGTGGTCGTAGGCGGGGTTTGAAACGCTTGGCGAGGGACTGCCCCGACATACATTCCCACTATTCTTCAAGAAATTGCTGGCTATCTTACATCAACCTTCGCAGTTCATGGCAGTAATTGCTATCCTGTGGCGAATTTGGAAATCCCGGAATTGGGTAGTCTTTGAAGGAAAACAATTCAGCATCTCGGCATTATTGAGGCAGTATAACTAGTAAGTTGGGGAGTGGCTCGGCTTGCCTAGAGACCCTCAGTTTCCCTCTTCTCATCTGCCTGATCGTCCTACTGTGGTAGTGAGCGGATCAGGGGGACCTGTGTGTCGTTGGGATGGGGCTGTTCGAAGAGGGTCGCATTTTGCAGGGGGTATGGTTCGTCTCAATGAGGTAGGGAGGTTGCTCTGTGCTGCGGGGGTTCAGTTTCCCTATCTGGATGATCCAATGGTGGTGGAGCTTCTTACGCTTAGGGAAGCTGTCCGGTGGTGTTTAGCTAGCGGTTTTCTGCTCATGCGATTTGAAGGGGATGCTAAGGTGGTCATTGATAAGATCTGTAGGGCTGATGTGCACGACAGTCGGGTAGGGACTATTCTGGAGGAAATTATGCAGATTTTCAGGGAAAACCCGGGCTTTACTGTGCGATTTGTAGGTCGGGAGAACAATAGGGTAGCTCATATGGTAGCTAGACAGGCTCTTTCTTTGTTCCCGACTACGTGTCGTTATTTTGATTTCCAGAACTGGCTGGCTTCCAGGATGTAACTATCGGTGTGTTTTTATCAATATATGATTATATTTTGTCAAAAAAAAAAAAGAGAACCTAATCATGAAAGCAGATATCTCTTTGTCTCTCCATCAGTTTTTGTTAATTTTCCTTATCGTATTCCAAACTGCAGAATTCACAGCTAGTCCTGTTCTTAGTTTCATTTTGGGTGAGCCATGGGTGATAATTGTCATTTTATTATACATTGTATGAGTTAGTTTCATTGCTAAGATTTCATTCAATTGATGGAAAATCTAAAATTCAAGTTAACATTAATGAGATATTGCCACTTGAATTAATAAGAGAATTATATATGGGTATAATTATGGATAATATAATAATTACTATGGTTATTATAATTATTTTTATTGTTAGATTACTTAAGAAAACCATATAGAAAAAGCCAAATTCTCATTAATTTGATGGAATTCATTTTTGGATTGGCTGGCCACATATACTATATACATACACAGCTCAAGAAGCGTGTTTCTCATGAATAAAGAGAAAAACAAAAGGACAAAACTATCCTTCCTTAGTATGCGCAGGAGGCAGAAAAATCAAACAATCACTAAATCAGTGTGTCTAAAGTTGTACATATTAGTTTTTATAAAAATATTAGCGATTATTTTTACACAATATGTCTCGGATAAAATCCTAACATTAATAAAAAAATGTATCCATAAACATGATTAATTCTAAAGTTTCAGCCTTATTAGTGATTTTAGGAAGGATATTTGTTTTTTTAATTAAACAAGAAAGCCGACATTTTAATTAAAACAACGACTCTATTAGAAGGAAAACAAGGCTTTGTTAATTATTTATTAACGGTAACAACCGTCCTAAAAACTTAGATTATTCATTGAATAAAAAAACTTAAGATTTATTATTTGCTCAACTGATATTTGGTGGGTAACCGATAAAAAAAAATTAAACCCCACGCATTATGATCTTGATAACTTAGTTGGGTGAATAAGGTGAGGTTTATGATTATAGTTATCAATGTTTTCTAATTAATTATTAGTTTATTTCTTAACCTTTGGTATTTTTTTTCTTAAGTCTGTTGCTAATGCTTTGCCTATCTATGTAATGTCTTGCTTCCTTCTACCTCTGTCATTGTGTCGTTTGCTGGATAGGCATTTGGCTAGATTTTGGTGGGGAGTGAAACAGGGTGAGCGGCGAATTCATTGGGTTTCTTGGAAATCGTTGTGCTTAAGTAAACATGAAGGAGGTTTGGGTTTTAGGCGATTTGAGGAGTTTAATCAGGCTTTGTTGGCAAAGGTGGCGTGGCGAATTTGGAAAGAGTCTAATTCTCTGTTAGCTCGGGTGTTTAAGGGTAAGTACTTTCCCAACTCCTCTATTCTGGTGGCCAAGGCTGGATCTTTACCTTCTTGGGGCTGGCGGGGGGCGTTGCATGGACGTGATTTGCTGGTCCAAGGTCTGCGATGGCAAGTTGGCTCGGGTGAGTCGATAGATGTGCTAACGGACAATTGGGTACCAACGTTGCATCCATCTCCCCCTACACCTCGTCCGGGGATCATTAGGGTCGAGGGTTCAGTTGCGTCTTTAATTTGCCCGAATCAAGGGGTTTGGAGGGTGGATTGCCTACGTCAGATCATTGAGGAGGATACTGTCCGAGCTATTGTGGCTATTCCGTTGCCTATTTATCCGGTGCCTGATCGTATGGTTTGGAATGGGGAGCAATCAGGTCGCTATACGGTCAAGTCTGGCTATCACTTAGCAGTGGAGCTACGGAGGTATAAGGAGTTAAGGGTGAAGGCGAAAGTGCAGGTGTGGGATCGTAGTCTATGGAAAAGGGTTTGGGGGGCTCCCATACCTCCCAAGTTGCGGTATTTCATATGGCAGATGGTTCACGGTGTCTTGCCAACTGGTGAGGCACTGAGTACTCGGGGGTAGGGGGCTGGAGCCATGTCCAGTCTGCGGGGAGGAGGGGGAATCTCTGGAACATCTCTTCTTCCGCTGCCGAGTAGCGGTGGAGTTGTGGGAAGGGGCGGAGCTTCTGGCCATTCGCGATCGCTTTCCCCTTTGCAATGTTGGGATCTTTTGGCGCAGGTTACTCGAGTGGCGGGAGCTTGATCAGGGGGTCTTGATGCATATTGTAGCCCTTTTCTGGTGCATTTGGAAGGCCTGTAATTGGGTGGTCTTTGAGTTGACTCAGTACATTGTGTCGTTGTTGTTATCTCAATTTCGTTTGCAGGTTGCAGTGGGATGGCATACTTACCGGCCGAGGTGTTAGTCGTTACTCAGGGGTCTCAGGTGCCAGAGGCCGTCAGGATGTTCCGTTGGGAGAGTTCGTCATGTTCGTGGATGGAGCCACGGCGCCTGGTTCACATGGAGCGGGAGGTTGGGCTCTTCAAGATCCCACGGGCATGGTGGTGGCAGCATCGGCAGCACTCTATGTGGGGATTTGGGAGCCGGCTCTTATTGAACTACTGGCCTTCCGGGATGCGCTTCGTTGGTGCTTGGCGTTTGGATTCCAGTCGATGATTTTTGCAGGTGACGCCCAAGTGATCGTGGGGAAGATCCGGGATGGTGAGGTAGATGATGTCCATGGAGGGATGCTGTTGGAGGAGATTCGGAGTATGCATGACTTGTTCCAGGAGTTTCGGGTTATTTTTGTGGGTCGAGAGTCTAATAGAGTTGCCCATTTGGTGGCAAGAAAAGCCCTTTCGTTGTCCCCTTCTTTGGTGGGGTTCAATTTTGTTTCTTGGCTGTTTTCAGCTATGTGACTATTTTGTATCTGGCTATTTTCTCGGTAATACGAGCGATCTTTTGGCAAAAAAAAAGAAAGATAGATCATTATTCCCATATGCAAGTTCAAATTTCGAAACCAGTAACCAATTATATAATTTCTTTTCTAGGTTCTTTTTTGACCTGTGATGAAATTATGAATATACTACGTCAACTCTAGATTTGTGAGGTATAGTTTTCTTTCATCACACTGAATACTCCTTTCATTTTTTATTCCACAACTTTCAGCATACTTGGTTCAGATAAAATCTTAGTGACTGAATTATGCTAGTGCAGTGATTAGTCTAATCAAAATCTCCCTTGACACTAAAATATTATTTTGGTATCTTATATATAGTTCAATGTTGTTTTGATTTACTTAACTGAATTCATATTACATTTGACTACTGTATTTAGTACTGGTTCCATGCTTCGACAAAATATTTTTCATAGAGAATAATGTAATTAGCAAAACAATAATGCAACAGTTTGATCTTCAAACAACCAAATAGAAGAAATGAGATTTTGTCCACAATGTCGACGATCTGGAACTTTAGTCCAAGGAAGAACAACAATCCAGCTCACTGGCTGGCTCATTCGATCTCATGTTGGGATAGATAGTTAGTTTGGGTGGATAACCCACCTTTGTCGCTTCTTTGTATACCTGAGGCCGATCTGGGCCGATTCCATTTGGGCCCTGTTTTAAACGTTGAATGAAAGGCTCATAGGTTACTATACGGGAGGAGTTACGGTGCTAATTGTATAAGAGTTAGCACCGTCCTAACCAAGGAGTAACGGAGGGCTTTATTGGTATTTAGTAAAATTAAATTCAATAAATAAATTAAATTTTAATTATCTCTCTCCTCCTTCGCAAAGAATTTTAACGTGAAAAAATACTAGAAAAAAACTACTACTAGTTTGAATTAGTAGTGATTTAGCTTAGATGTTGTATTGATTTTATAATAATCCGTAGTGATTTCATTGTTCTTAGTAGCGTTTTTTAAATAGAAGAATTTGATGATATTTGGAAAGAATAATATTGTAAATGAAAAAAGTACTACAAAGAACAAATATTACTACTAATATACAAAACACTACTAATACTTTACAAATATCATTGCTCAACTGTTGATTACAATAACAATAACTACTAATACATATGAAAAACAATACACCACAATCACTACTAACCCAAAATCACTACTAATCAAATAATAATATAGATATGGAAAAGGTGGTGGGAAGCCAACGCAGGCAAGGTCGGCGCCGTTGCGGGGGAAATCGGGGCAAGAGACGCTACGACTTGGCGCCATTGCCGGCGGAATCGACTTCGTAGCGGCGGCGATTGATTGATCTCGATCACATGTCCAGCGCATCATCTTCGTTACGCTGGCGGCGAGGGACGCTGACGACATCGACGACGTTGCAGCAACGAGGGATGGATCTCGATCACCAGATCTTACCCTTCCTTTGTCGACTCCATCGCCATCAACGCCCTCGATGTCTACCTCTTCAATCGTCATCGACGCGCTTGCCGCCTGCCTTGTCCATCGCCATGGACGACCGGTGACCTTTCCGCTGTGGGAGGAGAAAGGATTTGGGAACTTGGAAGGGTTTTTGAAAGGGGAGTGTAGAGGAGACGGTTCCAGATGTAGGCGCCAGCCAAACAAACAAATGTATATTAGAGTTTGTGGGGATGAATGAATTATGACATAATTAACCTTTGTAAAATTATAACTCTTAGATTAAAATTACATCTAATGGTGGTAAACTAAATTAGCATGGTACTAACCCCTTAAGGGGTTAGCACCTAATCCCAGTCCGTTACTATATATATATATATATATGGTGGCGTCTTCGGTGCACTCACTTCATAACCATCATTTTAAACATGCTATTTATGTCAAAATTATGTCCATCATCACTTATGATGTGATGAACAATAACGCACATGAATTTGCACAAAAACTATTGAAGATTTACTTTAATTTGAAGGATTTAGAGTTAGAGATTTAAGGTTAGGGTTAGGGTTTACAATTTAGGGTTTAGGGATATAACTCAAAATTGGAGGTCTAGTGCTTAGGGTAATCCACTAATTAGTTGTTATCATATGTTATATCATCATATTACACTAATTCTACAATTTAAAATTCAAAATCCGACACCTTAAGACTAGTTTTTGAGTTGGGTGCATTGAACGCACTCATTTTTGTGAGAGCACCGAAGTAGTCACCATATATATATATATATATATATATATATATATATATATATATATATATATATATATAAAAGATTTTGATGCACAACCTCATTTAATAACAACTCGGGATCGACATGGATCTCAAAGGCTACAATTAAGGTTTTTTTAATCTCCAAAAATTCGATGGACTATATCTTCTTCTTTTCAACTTTTTTTACAAAAAATTTGGATTAGAAAAATCATATTAATCTGAATCTATGAAAGGAGAGTTGAAGACTAAGATGCATATTTTTTATAAAAATTATACAACAACATCAAAGCAACTGTAGTTAGGTAACAATTTACCTATACACTTACATTTTTGTTAACTTCAAATTCATTCGAGAGAAAGTTTATTCTAAAACATAGTGTTTTCGACTATATAGAGTAGCTAGGTGAAGTTTTTGACTAAATAGTGTAGCTAGGTAACAACATAACAACATCAAAGACCATAGAGGTTAGGTAACAATCCACCTCTACCCTTTCATTCTTTTTAACTTCAAAGTCATTCTTTCAAGAGAGAAAATCATACCCACTAAAACATAAAGTATTCGACTAAATAGCGTATCTCAATTGCTGTCATTTTATTGTTCTGGATTGCGAGTGAGTTAGGTTTTTTGGAATGCTTGCCGAGAAACTATATGAAGATAGTGATGGAATGAGAGGACCTTTACCCCCTTATCTCCTACCAACTGAAGGAATTTAGTTTATTTTCTCGTCAAGCTTGCTGATTAGAATATCGCCAACACCATAAGCGAATACACAATTTTAATGATAAGGAAGGGCGAAGAAGAGTAATCTTAGCCGAATTTCATAACATGAACGAGTTAAATTTAACTTTTTGATAATGGTATTTCACAAATGTAAATATAGGACCATTAAGTTTTTGGTTTCATATGAAAGTAAGGAGAAGAAGGAAGAATATGCTAATATTGGAGGTAGTGAATTCACTGACGAAAATAATGACATTGTTGAGAAGATGGAACATATTATTGATGGTGGATATAGAAGTTTCAATGATTATAGGAAAGAGAAAATTGTTCATAATATTTGCGATTTGGATGAGGTCAACCTTACTAGCGCGAAAATGATGCTTCACATTTTCAAACATTTTATAATTAAAGTTTGGGTTTCAATGAAATGCAAGAGAGAAAAAAAACCTATTAATGGTCAATATAAAGATTTTATTAGTGAAGATGAAACCACATGAAAAAGATAATGTTTCTAATGGAGGAGCAAGAAAAAAAGTCTAAAATAAACATTTTTTTACAAATTTTTTTTTTTGCAATACTTTATGATAATGAGGAGTAAATTGAAGTGTTCTCTGATTATTATTTTTTAAGAATTGGTTCACTTGCCTGAGTTGTGTTTTTCAAATTTTAATAAGAACTTTTTTCTAGGAACGATCAAGATATAAACAAAATTCAAGATATAAAAAAACTTATAATTTATGTTTCTTTTTGATATTTTAGTAATTGGATAATATAGTTTTTTCATGGTATTCAATAAAAACGTAACTTAACTCAAGTAATTACTATTATTTTAAATGGTAATTTATCCGGCCAATGGACGGGCCTCAATCTAGTTCTGGAAATAAACTTGATTTGAACCTATAGCGCATTGGTCTTTTCACATTCTTCTGAATAAAATAATTCATTCTATTTTTGTATTATTTTTAATAGTCATCTCAGGTATTTTACGAAAACAATCTTACAGTTGAGAGCCTCGTGCGATGATTATAACAAAAGTAGAATAATGATCAACAACGAAATAATGTTGTAAAGTGAGTGACTAAAGTGAAAGAAATTAACAAATCGAGTGGCTAAACATGCAGTTCAGTAATTCACCCTATTTTTTCACAACAATAAAAAAAAACCCGACAATTTAATCGTTTAATTTGTCTTTCTCGATATTAGTAATTACCTATCCACTTTAACGATTATTAGATGGAAATATTGACATAAGGATAAATTTATTACGTTAAGATAGATGAAGAGTACAAAAATGCAAACAATTAGTAAAGGGTATTGTTTGTTAAACTCGCAATAGTATATAGCCATATAGGTTTAAAATGTTATTAAACTTATCTAATACATTGTATCTGCTCAGCTCTAATGTTTTAACACCAAACATATATATATACTCTTCTTCCTGTTAATAACACTTGCCTCAAGTGTTGCCAAAGCCTGTGGAATCATGTTACTCGCTTGATAAAAATGAATGCGGACGAAACAGATTTAGAATGATCACTAGGATATAATACAAAAGAAGTGGGGATCGGGTTTTGATCCAATTGCAGGGTAGAGGAAGGAAAAGGATGATTAAATGGACCATTATGACTAGTGTTCTACCAAATCCGGGAAAGCTTCCATTTTGGTGAATAGTTGTGCACAGTCGAATGGGATTATCTGCAGCTGGGACTGGGAGAATGAATTCCAACGAAACGGAATAACTATCGCATTAAGCTTACCACGTGCCGCCGTACGTCTTCTCGCCTTTTGTCATCCAAACCCAGAAAGCACCGAAACGCTCAAACATTTTACTCAGCAAAGCAGAGCAGAGCAAGGGCTGTTTCCACTCCAGAAGTCGTCAAGCGCCGCAGCGGACGCCCCCCTGCAACGGAAATAAGCTTCCGAGTGCCGCTTCAACCCTTCATTTTTCACACCGGCTTCCCCAGTTCTCATACAGGTACCATTACTTCACCGGCTATGCATGCAGTGGCGGACCTAAGATTGTTGGAGAGGTGTGTCGCCGCTAATATAGAATAATAATTAAATATAAAAAATTAAGTAGAAATTAAAAGAAATTAATTTATGAAGTTCACAATGTCATTTTACAACGAATCACGACGACTTTTCATATGCTTAAATGTCTCTAAAATACATTCATCACTTATGCTGCAAAGCAAATGTTTTTCAATATACACAACTTAACAATCATTTATAAACAATAATATTATACTCTAACCCCCAATGTGTGAACCGCAATCCCCAATTCACTAACCTAACATAAGATTCATTTAATCTTGAAAAATGAAAATCAATGATTCTGATTCGTCGAAATGATTGTTGAGTTTCATTTTAAGATTGACCAAATTTTGCAGTTTGGGTTAGAAAATTAGGGATTGGGGTTCACCCATTAGAGGTTAGGATATAGGATCATGCCTCAAAGTCCGGTTAATTATTTATCTAAATAGCAAAACCCAATTGGCGTACGGTGGTCGGACGTACGCTAGCCTGAACTTATATTTATATATTTTGATAACTTATGACAATAAATTTCCATAAACACAATGGAGTTGTGTCGGATACAATGATCAGAGGTGTGTCGGAAATCCCGAGATCAAAATTTTAGTACCGACGAATTAGGGGTATTTCCCAAAATTTTCGGACGGAGGTGTGTCAGATGACACACCTCCCTTGTGCCTAGGTCCGCCCCTGTATGCAGGTGTGATTTTTAATTTCACTAGTTTTCTACTTTTCTTTCATGCAAATTCTTTTTCCTTCAAAGAATTTGGATACTTATTTCGCCCCTACACGCCTTCAGTTTCAGTAAATTGAAGCCGCAATCCTTCCCACTTTCGATACCTGCACTTTCTGGGTTTATACGGAAGAACAGCTGTAAAAAGAGGAAGAAATGAAAGCTTGAATCCGATTGTTCTGTGAAATAGAAACTCCAGATTGTTTTGTCAAAACGTGATCTAATGGGCCACAGATTTGCAGTCAAGCCCACAATGCAATGAAACTCGTTTTTCTAGGACTGCTTGCGGAAACACTAGAGTTAAAATAATAGGAAAGCCCAAATTCAATTTATTTAATTAAAACCCTACAGCTACCATAAAACGAAGGCGTTTTATTTAAACACAAAGGAAGGTTTCTTTAAGGGTGTGTTTGGATCGAATGATTTGGATTTGGTATGTGTGATTTGGATTTTCAAATATCAAATCATGTGTTTGGATATTAATTACATTTGGTATTTGGATTTGTGACAAATTTATGGGGTGATTTCCAAATACATGTCTAGTGTATTACTTGTCAACTTCATATCCATTACAACAACTACTGATTTGAAATACCTTCTAACAAAAGAGTGGACATATTTATAAAATATTAAAAGTTTAGGTATTATAGTGTGAGGCAAAAACATATAAAGGTACCAAAAAGTAATTTTACCATCAAAGTTTCGGAACCTTTTGTAAAATTTTAAATGTTTAAGCACTAAATAGTAAGAAAAAATAAATTTGGGTACCAAACTATAATTTAACAAAATTTGCAGTAAGTGACAAGAAAATTCAAAATTAAAATAAAAAAATCACAAAATTTAAAATACAAACAAATTACAAATGAGTATCCAAACAACGAATTTGAATTACATGCATTTCAAATGCTAGTACTTCAAATACATCCATTTCAAATGCATGTATTTCAAATACTTTACATTTGAAATACACCTATCCAAACGCACGATAACAAGTTTTTCGATCAAGGTTATATAACAGAAGAAGAACACAAAACAAAGTATGCAGAACCGAAATGCGAGAACACAAGCAATTTTTATGTGGTTTCTAGTGTTGAGAGAAATAGAATCTCAAAACTTACTAGTCCACGATCGGAGATTCACAACTTTGTGATCTCTGACGATCTACTAAAAATATGTCTCGAAACTTTTTGGCTCATAAATGAACAACCCGGTATTTCCAATACCGTCACCTCGATTAACTCTTCGTCAATCGAATCCGTGTATCCTAACACGTAACCCAAGCTATCTAACCGATGCTTGAACCAAGCAACTCCGCGTATGCTTGAAACCCTTTCCTATAAAAAAAGTCTTAGCAAATACTGCTCTCTAGTATTTTGATCTCCCAAAAAGGTGCTTCTTCATTGTTCAGGCTTATCTCCTTTTATAGCATCAGTCAGCTAACCGTTGCTCTTCAGAAGCATGCTTCACTTGAGTTCTCCAGATATGGTAGGTTACCTCAAATGGCGTACATCAACCAATTGTATTTTATCAATTTTCTTGTACGATAATCTGCCTAATTAGTTTGATTCCATAAAAGTGCTTATTGACTTTTATTTTAGTGTCTTGATTTGGTCATACACACTACAAATTATGCAATTACCCACGTCGAATGCACTTAATTAATCAATTTCCTCATGTAGCACTGACCAAACTTAATCTTTCTATCGCAGCGATGCCTCGTCAGGTCACCTTACGCCGATTCGTGGGACTGACCTGGGGAGAGAACTGTCCGGAGTGATGATCCTAGTGATCGTCTTTGCCGGAGTAGTCGTCCTCAGTGCAGTAGGATGGTTTGTCAAGCTTTGCTACCAGCAGGCTACAACAGATGATCCACAGGCGGGCGATAACAGAAGATATTGAAAGATTGTCAAGACTCAAACCCGGCGACCATGAATGTCAAAGTGGATCGACAAGGTTTAGAGGAAGCTATCATCAAGTTCAGTTTAATGTCAATGTGTGCTTAGACTTTAGTTTGAATTAATGTTTTATCTTTATAGTCTCCAAATGCTAGCTTGCACATGTTGTCTTGTAGTGCAAAGCTTTTGCCTATTTAAACCCAAGTATGAATGAGAAACACCCAAGGCTTAGGGTTTCATTTCTCCCAACTCATCTTTGTTGTTATGGTATCAGAGCTCTAGGTCCTAGGAAACCCTAAAAACCTTCAACCCACAAAAATAAGGACTATGTCCAGATCTGCAAATTTCAGATCATAAACCCTAAAAAAAAAATACAGTTCTTCTCCAATCTCCATTGTATCTGTTTCTATCCCAGATCTCACTCACCCAAACATTCAAGGAGGATCGACTCTGCCCCCAAATCCAAGCCCACCGTTCCTAACCATTCGCCCACAAAACCTACCATCACTTCCCCAAAATTTCCCAGATCCATTCTATCGTTCTTCCAAACGTCCCCCATCTCCCAAAACCAAGAGTCCCATTTCACCAAAAACAAAAAAAAAAAAAAAAAAACAAAAGCCCCAAATCCCACCAAATTATTCCGCCGTAATCATCACCATCTCTTCTCCAACTATTCCAAATCGGAAACCTCAATCCCTAAAACCAAAAACCCTTAAATCTAAAAACCGGCGACCACAAGTTTCGCTCAAGCCGACAGATCTGTTGCAGCGAGCTCCAGCCACCGTTATGAATCATCACGGCAAGGCCCGCCACCAGCTCTATGCTTCATCAATCGTCGTCGCCATGACCAAGACAAGCTCAACGGAGGAGAATCCATCCCCGCTGCCCAAGTCGGATGAAGAAGAAGAGAAAAGCAGATCCGACGACTCAAAATCGGAATCTTGTTCTGGTCGATCTTCTCTGTTGGTTTCCATCTTTCCGCTGAAGCCTGTCACTAAATCCACCGAGAGGAAGTCAGGCGTCGCTGTTCTCTCCCCTAAAGTCAGTCATTTCGCCAAGCAAGCAGTGGGTTCCGAGAGTTTGAGGCGAAGGATGATTACAGAGCATAAGAAAAGGGTTTTCACAATCACAAGAAAATACCAAGAAGGGGAAGGTGAGTTTCTTGAAACTGAGAATGTCAATGTTGGTTGTTTGGAGGAAGAAGAAACTTGGTTGAATGATAACGAGATTGCAACCAAGAAGAATGAACAGATTGTTAAGATTGATTCTTTTGAAAAAGAAATCAAATGTTTGAATTCTTATGTGTTGAATCTCGTGGCTGTGTGGGAAGTAGAAGCCAATGAAACCTCCTGCACAGCTAGAACCTCCATTTTCTAGTGTTGAGTTCATAGAAAATCAAGAAGAAAGAGAAGCTGCAAGTTCAGGGGCAGCACTTAAAAAAAACAATCAGAAGAAAGAGAAGCGGCAAGTTCAGAAGCAGTCACAAGCACAAGTCCTTGTTTCTGTGATTCAGCAAGAGGAAGTGAAGGCAGCAGCCTGAAATGATTCAGCAGAGGGAAGAAGCTTACTCCCCTGTTGAGTTTGAAGTCAATTTTTTTTCCTGGAATACTTGCTAGCTAAAGTATCAGCGGCATATTGGAGAAGCAGCGGGAAGTAGCCAACAGAGCACTCCCCTGTTGATTTCAGATTGTTTATCGGATGGAGTGCTAGCTAGCAAAGTCAGCAGCATTTCCGGACCACTTTGAAGGCCCAGCAAAAGCTGGAGATGAGAAGGACAACCAGCTAGCCATATTGCAGCGGCATCCTTGTTTGAAGAAGCAGAGGCAAGACGCCCAAAAGGGCTCCCCTGTTGAGTTTGAAGTTTTTGGAATGCTAGTTAGCTCAAAAAGCAGCAGCATATCCTCATCTTTTTGGAGAAGTAGAGGGTAGTAGTCAAACAGTACTCTCCCCTGCTAACTTCAAGGTTTGTTTCTTGGAAGGAATGTTAGCTAGCAACAAAGCTGCAACATATCCTATCCACATTGAAAAGCCAGGTAAAGCTTTTCAGAAGATGTTTGGGAAGTTAGCTAGCAAGATGCAGCAGCTTCACCATTTGAAGTTTGAAGAGAAGTTAGCTAGCCAACAGTGCGGCAACATTCTCAAGTCAAAGCTGTATTTTCTTCAAGCTTGGTGTGCACATTCTCTGCTCACCCGCTTGCGGGGGGAGGAGTGTAACAGGAGATATTGAAAGATCGTCAAGACTCAAACCCGGCGACCATGAATGTCAAAGTGGATCGACAAGGTTTAGAGGAAGCTATCATCAAGTTCAGTTTAATGTCAATGTGTGCTTAGACTTTAGTTTGAATTAATGTTTTATCTTTGTAGTCTCCAAATGCTAGCTTGAACATATTGTCTTGTAGTGCAAAGCTTTTGCCTATTTAAACCCAAGTATAACGTGTTTCTCATTCATACTTGGGTTTAAATAGGCAAAAGCTTTTCACTGGGAGGCCTCTGATCTCCCTTATACCTTTCCCTTGTTTCTAATCCTTTTTCAATAGGTTTTCTTTCCAGAAAGTGCTTGTTTGACGAGTTTTTGTCTAAATATTTCGACAAAAACCTCTCATCCCTGTCTCTTCTATTATCAGAGAGACGATTTTCATTGTTTTTAGTGTCAATATAGCCTTTGTTAGCCTGAAACTCTCTTTTCATTTTTCAACATTTTGTGAAATTTTCGGCTTACAAGAGCAAATTCTCTTTCAAACTCTTCACTTATCTCATATTCTAGATCACTATCATAATCTTGTGCTTTGAAAGCAATCACCTTTTTACGCCTGTTATCTTCTTTATTCGTTTGGGTGATTACTTCTTCGTGACTAAGTAGAGATCCTACAAGTCTTTCAATTGATAGAACATTTAGATCTTTTGCCTCTTCTATAGCAGTTCTTTTAGGAAGTCATTCCCTAGGTAAACTTCTAAGAATTTTTCTGACTAGATCCTTTGTAGCAAACACCTTTCCTAATCCCTTCAATCGGTTAATTAAATCATTAAACCTTTTGTACATACTAGAAATTGACTCTCTTGAACTCATTTCAAAGGATTCATATTCATTTAATAGCACATCAATTCTACTTTCTTTTACCTCTGACGTACCTTCATGAGTGGTTTGTAATGACTCCCAAATTTCTTTGGCAGACTCACACTGTGCCACTTGGTTTCTTTCTTCAGGTGAAAGTGCTGAGAAGAGAAGGTGCATAGCTCTTGAGTCAAGCTGAGAGGATACCTTCTGCTCATCCTCCCATTTCTCTTCATCATCATCATCATCCATGGGAATTGGCCCTTTTCGAACAATGCTCCATAGATCTCCATCAACTCCTCTTAGATAGATCTTCATTCTTTTCTTCCAGACAGAGTAATCTGTCCCATCAAACCATGGAGGGTTTGTGTTGGCAGAATAGGATGCAGGAGCCGATGAAGACCCAGTCATCTTGCAGATCTTCTTTGGTGATAGTTAATCCAACAAAGAACCTGCTCTGATACCAATTGTGAATTTAGAAAGCAACAAACTGATCTATTTTGCATGACAGAATCCTTTTTATTTGAGACTAAGGTAATTCGGGGAAGTTTAGTCCTTGAAAGAAGAGGATTTTATATATATGTAAACTGAAGAAAGAAAAAAAAAAAAGTTCCAGAGCCAAGCCAACGAGTTGGCTCTTTGACAAACACACAAACTTCCCAAGAACAAACCACCAAACACTATGATTGTTCTACTGAAGTTTCTAACTGGACCCAAAGCAACAGAGAGCACTCTCCTATTCTTCTATTGCAAACTGCCAGGTCGCTAATTGAGATACAAACCCTAAATATATAGAAGAGAAAACTTAGTAACCGTTGTGAGGACCTGATGGCTTTGAGAGAGGAACTGTCATCTTCAGGTTATCATGATCTCAGAGTAGGCTTGAGGCACCATCCTTGATGAACTAAGAGGAGCTTGTTGAGCAGAGGAAAAGTTGTTGATGTCGTTGGAAGAGGAAATCGAGGATCTGAGGAAGATGATCCTCGATGGAAGACTTTGATGGACGATAAGCTTGGAACGACGTAGTTTTGTGCAGCAGCGCAGTGGATCAGTCGTTGCATAGAAACGCATCATCTTGGCCATTCTGACGTCGTTATGGATTCTTGGTGTAGAAGCCTTCCTCTAGTATACAACACTCTTCATTCTCAACCCTTAGTCCAAGTATTATTTTTTGGTAGTTACTAAAATCCCCTTTGGGGCCTGGGGGAGAAGGGTGTCACCAATGTGTCATGCAAATTCGAGCTTCAGTATGAGATTGGTTGCTTGGAAAATGGGGATCTTGATATATGATCTTTTTATCAGGTGGCTGTCAATCTTTGGGCCGAATAATATTTATTGACTGCCTCCTTAGTATCAGTTGTAGCTTCTGATGAACTATTGTCGGAATGTGCAACAGTGCAAGCTCTAGCCTTATGTTATCCATGATGAAGTTAAGGTCGGAATTTGAAGGAATTCATTCTTCCCTGCTCCATGGCAATGTGTCTAGCTACAATTGAAGAGGTGATGGTTGAGTTAACAAGAAAAGAGACAAGGTTACGTAACTGGATATTCATTCCACCGAATCCACCGCTACCTTTGTCGTCCACAATGGAAAACATTAGTTTGATCAAACACATTATGGTGAGATTGAGATCATATGTCACTCATATGATCGGTGATTATGCAATCCTAGCTAAACTTGGACACAATCGACCAAAGCCAAGCAACAAATCTTCTTCTCCAGTCACTGCATACGTCACCTCCGACGAGTTCTTCTAGTATGTCCTCTGTGGAGATATGACGTTTTGTTTATGTCATTGGAGGAGTCTTTTCCATCCACCTTAATAGTTGCTTTCTCCATTGGTGTGCTATCTTGCATCTCATTTTCTGGCACCTTGATTCTGCTACTTGTAACCATATGGCAGGTGAGCAATGGAACTCGACTCCCTCCGGCTATCCGAGTTTTCACCACCGTCGCACCCATCTTCTACATGTTTCCCATAGGTGCACCATAAGCCTCCCATGGATGATCAATTTCGGTCTTCCGACTCATAGGATTTTTTGTTTCCAATTCTTTAAGTCTTGCAAACATCTCCTTCTTCAACATTCCAACTTCTGTCGCCAAGCCCAATCATGCTTCAGTACAATTTGCATCCCAAGGGTGTCGGTGACAATAAGCTTATTGTGAGGCTTTACATTGGCTGCAAATGACACCCCAGACTCCTGAAAGTTCACCAATTTCCTTGATACTTTCTCATACGCCTGGAGGATCACTTTGAGTACCAAGCTTTCCTGTTGAGTTGTCTTGACGAAAAAAGATACTATCGTCAGCAAAAAAGATATGGGTAATCACCAGTGCTCCCCCGTGCCACATGTAACCCATGCAATCTACATACACTACCTTGACTGTATAGGTTGATAACCCCTCCACACACAACAGGAAGAGGTAAGGTTATAACGGGCCGCCTTGTCATATTCCTCTACTCAGTCAAAAGGTATGGGATAAATGTCCATTCACTAGCACAAACTAAGATACAATGGTTACTCGCATCAGAGCCAAACAGATCCATCTATCTGTAAATTCCATTTCCCTCCAAAAACCTCCATTCCACCCTATCATATGGCTTTGCCATATCAATTTTTTGCCGCAAAGAAGCCAACCTTTCCGCGTGTGATGTTCCTCATCGTATAGAAACACTAAAAAAATGCCATAATATTATCTTTCATATATCGCCCAGACACAAAAGTGCTTTGAGATAGCGATATAATCTTTTCAAGTAATGGTTTCAGACAGTTAGCAAGGATCTTCGACACAATCTTGTAGATAGCATTGCACATGCTAATTGGTCAGTATTCTTTTTGAGATCGGGATTGTTTTTTCTTTAGGATCAATGCTATGAGCATATGATGTAGGTCATCTGCATTACTCCCGATTCTAGAATTTGTACAACAATTGCCACCCCATCATCCCCAATTATTCTCTAGTATTTCCAAAAGAACATAACTGAGAGTCCATCTTCTTCAGGAGCTTTCTATTCCCCCATTTGCTTCAAGGCCCCCATATCTCTTACCTACTAAACGACAAGAGAAGTCCATCATTGTCCTCATCATTCACTCTTTGCGAGACAAATCAATAACCTTCCATGTAGTTGGTGGGGTACTAACTGTAAAGAGGGATTGAAAGTACTCCACCATGCATTTGAAGATGGTTTTGAGCAGAGGCAAAATGATCCTTCCGTGTTTCTCGATCATACATTTGATGGGATTGTTCTGTTTTTGCACTATGTAGATGACATGATTGTGACAGGTAGTGATCATGGTGGGATTTGAGAGGAAACTGAATCCTTACATTCAGCCTTTAATCTCAAGGAGCTAGGAGAAGTTTCCTACTTCTTGGAATCGCAGGTTAGTCGCTCGGAGGCAGGATGATTTGTTATCCAAAGAAGTACATTCATGATTGACGTAACTGATTTGTTCAGCTCACCCTTGTAGCACGCTTATGGAATAAAATTTGAAACTAAGTCGGAAAAGTGGGAGCAGTTTAATCTATCTTACTCATACTCATCCAAATATAGTGTGTGCAGTTTAGGTAGTAAGTCAGTTCAAGGGAGCAGCTCGTACCACTCATCTGGATGCAGTACATAGATTATTGCGTTACTTGAAGAACGCATAAGAGGTTTAACTTTTCTTCCCTAGTGATGGACAACCGGATTATGAAGGTCAACGTCTGGTTTGTGTATACGCTTTGGTTGGTCATTTGTATCATGGAGATGTATTCTACAGAACCATAATATCATTCTATGTTAGAGTTAGTTCAGAAATGGTTGGCTGCAAAGACTGTTTCTGGAATTAAGAGTGGCATGTGAGCTTCCAATGAGGATATATGAAGATAAAACTATTGAACAAAAATGGCGTCAACGACAATTAGGGATTTGGAAAATTTGGAAAAATGTAAGAAGAAGAAACGAGATAAGAGAAGACGAAAGGCAAGCTTTGACTTGTCTAATCGGTCGATCTCGTTGCTTCTCAAAATGGGCCTGAACTCCAAAATCCCACCGAGAAAATTAACCAAAAAGAGAAGTAAACACAAATTAGGCCCACTTAAGTTCTCAACCCATGGAACCTGTCTTGAACAGTCGTCTTCTTCTGTTTGACATAAGTTGATAGAGAGACAGAGCACCAGACCGAGAACAAGGGAAGAGAAAACAGAGCACAGACAGAAAAGAATAAGAACACGATCAATTTTAACGAGGTTCCCCAAACTACCGGGTCAGTCCTCGTCCTAGACTCAGTACTTCACTGAGGTCTAGGAGAGACTGTTTTTTATTGATTTTCACCTATCAAGAAAGAAGAGAAAAGATGCAGACTCAAGAACAACGAAAAATGAAAACAACAAAGATTCTCCCCGGATCCCAATCCCAGACCCGTTACACCGTTAATCAAACAGATCCAATACCTCTGTTCTGATTAACCCATTTAAGCAATTAGCCCTATACCACCTCTTACAAAAGTATCTTTCCCAAGATGATGGACGAAGATATATATAGCCTCCTGGCTGGACGATCGTTGCTTTTGAAAACGAATGGAAATGGTAAGCTGCGATGATTCTCCTTTGATTCAGGGATTTCCAACTTTCCATCTTTCAACAATCTCCCCCTAAGTTGGAAATTGCAAGTTGCCAATGAATCCTGCAAAATGAACATACAAGCTTCTTCCCAAGCAGCAACAAGCAGCAAACAACACATAACCAGCCAAAAAACATTTAAACCACGAAAGATCATCCAGAGCATCCGAGAATCAAAACTAAAGACCACAGCCTGGTCAGGCAAACCGACACCACAAACTAATCATATTCAAGACATCCAAAATTTAGGACCACAGCCTGGTCAGGCAAACCAAACACAACAAGACAAACTAATCAAGTCTGCTCCCCCTAAGATCAGGCAGCTTCCTCGTCAGAATCCGATCCATAGAGGGCTTGGAGAGCTGCTGCAAACGGTTCAAGTTCTGGAGCATCATCATCATCACTAGGAGCAGAATCATCAGAGTCGGAGTCACTACTGATGGTCAGGATCTCATCATCGTCACCATTCTCCCCCGCAACTGCTATTTCCAGAAGGTCCATAACGCCATCAGCAGTGAGGAATACAGAGGGTGTAACAACCCGAAAAGGATTGAGATTGACATGAAGGCGAGACAACAGGGTGGTGATGAGGGGACCAAACAGGAGAGGTGAAGTGACATTCACATCACAGAAGGATATGGCTGAGCCGAAAAAGAGATCAGCAAAGCTGAGCGGGATCCCGTGAGCAGCATGCACAAGTATCCAGAGCTCTACAGGCGTGATCAATTGCAGGTTTCCAGAGCGAAGCAGGAACACGCGAGAGATGAAAAAATGAAGTGCTCGAAGAGAGGACAGAAGAGCAGAGATGGGCATAGAAAGGTTTGGACCAGGAAGTCTACCCGAAAGCTGGAGAAATTCCTCAGAAATATCAAAATTGAACAGCCAGAGCTCAGACGCATCGTCAAGGTTTTCCCCTATAGCAGGAATATGAAGAATATGCTCGATTACAGCCACAGGAATAGTGAGAAGCTGACCAAAAACCAGAGTGGTGAAAAAACGAGAACTCAGATGAGTAAAACGAAGATTGGAATAAAAAAACCAAACAACATCAGGAAAGATAACCGTAGAAAAAGGATGGTTCAGTAAAAAATTTCAACCGAGATTTTGAATGAAAGGACGCATGTCAAGACCTACCTCAACCAGTTCAGGCATCTGAACGTAATAGGAGGGAAGGACATGCCGGTTTGCAAAAAACAGTTCATGACGACGGGCATTGGCTGGGATAGGATCTAAGAACAAAGTCTCAGTGAAGGTACGCAGGAAAGGAAGAGCCATTACTACTACCAGCAAGCAAGGAAAAAGATAAGACACTGAAGGGACAAGAGAGTGAACGCGCCTATAAATAGCAAATAATCTAACCCTAGAACAAGACAGCCACAAAACTTACCAAACAAAAAGAATAAATCAAGGCAATCAAACATAAATACCAGACCAATAAGGTAAACATAAACAAGGAAACTAAACTAGAAAAGGCAAACAA